ATTTTGTATATCAYAAATTGGAGAATGATGAAAATATTAACACAATTGACTTTTATAATGAATATGCATAATCTGATTGATGCCCCATTTTCTGCTGACATCCCTCATGCCATTGATAAAAGAAGAAATTAGAAATATATTTCATTATTTTGTGATCTAATCATTTAACTTTATTTCGGTAAAGCAATTGTTGCTTCACCAGATTTTAATCAAAATTTCATGTGCTATTTTGATTGAAATTACTTATCCCTTTTGTTATTTTCCTTTTCTTTTCTTTCTTTTCTTCCTCTCCCTTTCCTGTCTCTGTCTTTTTCGGGTTATGGTACCAGCATTGAGGAGTCCTGAAGACTTCGCCTCAACACTGCGGAATCATGCTGAATGATCTTGATGACAATCATGAGACACGGGGTGGTGTAAGAGACCGTACGGAAGTCCCTTGACTGTTTCACGATCATCAAGATGGACAGAGACTAAACACCCCAAAAACCCAAAGGGGGAGAAAGGGGGACTTTTGCTCAAAGGAGTCCGAGCCAGATCAAGGTGGGATGTCTGCCAAATTCCAGTTCCTAGGCTGCTGAGTACAATGTGTAAGCTACGGATGGTTGCACTGTTCCTGACGTGAAGGTGGAGAACTGTACAACCCATGCTGCACACCTTTCAAAACAATAGACATTCTTYCCCCACCGCTYRGCTGTTTYTTCCATACTTCGCAACCCCCTTGGCCTGCTGCCGCACGCTTTTGAAAAGACTATTAAAAGTCTCTCTGAAAAGACCCTGACGAGATCTCCCCAATGGATGTCGGCGAATCCATGGAATCCGGACCTCGAAGGACTCATCGGAGCCGTTGGTAGCTATAACCCCACTCTCTCTCTCTCTCTCTCTCTCTCTCCCTCTCGCTCTCTCTCTTTCTCTCTCTCTCACCCTCTTCTATCCCGAAAATCCAATAAAACTGTTCATAATTTTGAATATATTTCTTTTGCACTCTGAGATTCTGATAACGAACCATCACGACCTCTGCTTGGGTTAAGCRGATCGTGACAGGGTCCCATGTAAGAAGTAATACAGAAAAAAGTATCAAGTCTGGATATTCTCTTGGTGTGAGATCAAGTATGTATTTGGCAGGAACAAATTCATATATGGATTTCAGCACGCGTATATACCATATACTGTAGTTTCGTCAATACATGATCAATACTACCTTTAGGGATCTTTTCATAACTGCCTTGTGACAAAACACACTGACTCGTTAAGCCAGGTTTCCTCAAAAAAATACTTAAGACTTCTAAGTGCTCTTTCAAATATCTGGTATCTGGTACTTGTTATGGAGARAGACTGAAGTGGTCAAAAGTCGTTTGAGTGCTCCAACAAGGACAACAATTTCATCTAGTTACATTCAAGGGTTGTTGTCTTTTTGTGAGTTGAAGCAAAACATGCCTATACATGAGAATATGACTCCAAGTTTGCTGTAGCACTAARTTACATGAATGCATTTTAACTATTTTCATATGCAGGGAGAAATTTGTGTGCTGTGAAGCTTCCTGGTGAAGTCTAAAGGCCTCCTCTCATCAGTTCCATGTCCCATGTATAAACAGTTACCACGTGCTTCAATGGGAGATTCCCATTAGCTTGCAAATAGAAAGGCTCAAAACKAGTACTTCAACCAACATAGTTCTGTTTATTTTAAAAGCTGGATTATTCTACTGCAGTAAACACAAGCATGCAGGTGTCCTGCCCCAATTCCATCCCACATTTTGATTCCCCATCCATAGTGCATTTCATCCAAGTTCGTTWTTCTGTATTTTCATACCTGCCATCTGCTTTACAAAGAAATCATGACTTATATGTAATACACGTGGCAACAGGAAAAAATCCAAAAGTCAGATTTAGTTAGACTGGATATGAAGAGTTGTAGATATTTTTTAAAAAATTAAGGACAGTATATGTCAGGAAATAAGTCATTGTTACATAGAAACCTAATTCTGCTTTTTAAACAACTCTTAAAACAACTCTACCAAAGACATTGTAAGATTTTTCTTATTATGAAAATATATTTTATAGACTTAGCTTTTTAAAAGGTCATGCAGAAATTTGCGTGAATCAAATTGTAAAGGCTGCTATCTTACTGAAAAGGCACCTCTGGGTAGCTGTAACCTGGAACAGTTTCTGTTAGACACTGACAAAATTGTGTATCKAGAAAATAAACCTTCACAAGGCAAAGCACCAGTTGTTTGTGGGTCACAGAATCATAGATGATAAAATGGTTTGGGTTAGAAAAGATCTTAGGGATCTTTGGAAGGCCTTCCACTACATCAGGTTGCTTGAAGGCCGACCCAGTACAGCCTTGAACATTTCCAGGGATGGGGCATTCATAGCTTCTCTGGGCAACCTGTTCCAATGCCTCACCACCCTTTGACTTATGGAATTTCCTCTTCTAAACTTCCTCTTTCTRTTTAAAACCATGGCTCCTCTACCTATCATCCTATAACTACATTGCCTGATAAAGGGCCCCTCATCTTTGCTGTAGGCCTTCTTTAAGTACTGGAAGGCTGTGGTCTCCCTGGAGCCTTCTCTTCATTAGGCTAAACAATCYAAACTCCCTCAGTTGGTTTCATAGGGGAGGTGCTCCAGCCCTCTGACCACCTACATGGACCCAGCATGGCTTCATCAAGGGGAAGCATGGTTGATCAGCCTTCTGTGATGAAATGACTGGCTTGACTCAAGAGAAAGCAGCAGATAATGTCTTCCTGGACTTCAGTATGGCCTTTGACACTGATTTGGATATCACCCTCACAGACAAGCTGTTGATGTAGGAGCTAGATGAGCAGACAGTAAGGTGGACTGAAAACTKCCTGCGTAGTTGAGCACTGACAGCGCTGATGAGCAGTGCATGGTCTAGCTGGAGGCCAGTAACTAGTGGTCTACCCCAGGGGTCCATACTGTGTCTGGCCTTGCTAAAATGTWAATTGATGATCTGGATGGATGATAGGTAGAATGTATCCTCACTGAGTTTGTCAATGACACAAAACTGAGGCAGAGAAAGCTGTGCAACTTGATGAAGAAGGCTCAAGGGGAGCTCATCAATGTGTATACATATAGGGAATTTGCCAGGCTCTTTCCAGTAGTGCCCCRTAACACGACAAGAGGTGATCTGCACAAACTGAAACTCAGAAGGTTACCTCTGAGTATCAGGAAACACTTATTTGTGAGGGTGACAAAGAACTACCACAGGCTGAGCAGGAAGACTCTGAAGATTCCACCCTTGGTGAATTCAAGCTGTTTGGGTAAATGTTGCTTTGAACAGCAGAGTTGGACTAGATAACCTCCTTAGGTCCCATCCACCCTCAACCACCCTGTGATTCTGCAAATATTAAAACATTAAAATTGGTTCAAACATTTGTGCTTCATGAGACACTGAATATCTTCAAAGGAAGGGAATAAATCTGGTTTGATATCCCTTGTAGTGATATGTAATGCAAATCCCTTTTTAGTTATTCAGCAAGATCCTTAAACTCTCTAAAAAGCTCCCATTTGCCCTCCTAGTTTGCCAGATGTGCTATATCTCCTGCAAGCTTCCTGTTTCTGACTTTGGCTTTTACGAACTGCTTCAGCTATATGTTCTTGTAATTTTTTTTTGTCTACACTGCCCGATAATAGTTTACACTACTGTAACCTTTATGCTAGGTATCAACAGAAGCAGATGAGGATTTACTCTGCCTATTTGGTGGGCCAAGTTTCCTTAATCTTCTAATACAAACGTTAAAAAAATTACGAGACAGCAGCTTCTGCCCCCTTTTTAAAGAGTCTGGCTGCTCACTTAAAACTGACAAAGAGCAGCCTTTAAAAGACAAAAACACATGAAGGCCCAAGTGCTGACCTGTTTAGCCTTGCCAAAAGAAGACTGAAGGAGACAAGGGGGAGCAGGTCTCTTGCTATAAATATCTCACAGAAAGAACAGTTATTCATGCTTAAAGAATACTAGTGTAAGAATAGCTGCACATGAACTAGTTGTGAATATATTTAGGATAAATACTGAGAGCAGATTTTCTTTCACTGCAGCAAAGAGACTCCAAAGCAGCCTTAAAATGCACCCAACAGCAGCACACACAGACACAATGGCATCCAGGTTCAAGGACAAGATTTTAACGGGAGAGACTGCACTCTTGACACAGAAGGTCCATTTTACTATTGCATCCTTGTCATCTGTTCCACATTGTCATTCATTCCAATATTTCTCGTTAATAACTGTCACTTTACACCCATGCATACCCTCACCATGGCCCATAGCGATGAATGACAAGCAAGMACAATTTTTGAACCAAAAATTCCTGCCAGTCTATGCCTCATAGAAAAGGCATCAGCATGACACACCAGAGTTTTATCAGTCTCAGAAATAATCCTGATAAACCACGTATACAACTGAACCTTCATTATRTGTCTGACTCACTGGTTTTGTACCTATTTCAGCTATGGGTTAAATATCTCACCCCTCTCTGAAGGCTTTCCAGTGTAAGCACTATGGAGGCACAGCTAAATGGGTACAATACGTCAGAAGAAGATACCATATTCTTCTTTCTTACACTGAAATATGGGATGCAGGCAAAAGGTACTTTTATACCACTATAATGGCACATTAACTCGGAAAATCACATGCTTTAACAGACTTGACACTAACACAGGTRAAGTCAAGTCCTTGAAAGAAATCTTGAAAGTTTCTTAAAACTAAATCCCAGCACCCAAATTATTCTTAGTTCAYGAAGAAGGTTTTGCTTATTAGCTGGATTGCAGAAAGCAGCTTTCATTCAGAACAGACTGCTCTGTGACATTGAGTGGTGGAATTTCACATTKGCAATTTTACTACAATCTGAAAAAAAGCGGTATCTGAAGAGTAAATGACTGTAAAAAGAATTTACAGAACATTCATTTATATACTGAAGACCTTTAGATGCTTCTTTACAGTTTCAAGAAAAAAGTGAGATATTTCACTAGCAGTAAACACCAAGTAAGAAATAATAAATTTTTAATTATACTGCTGGATACAATTAAACCATTTAATTAAAAGTATGGCTTTTAGCAGTTTTGTAGTTTAAAACTGTAGGATTATAGTAGTATATTTACTAACCACATTAACAGGAGTCTGGCTAAATATGTGTCAACTGGCTACCAWTAGTTATGAAATTGCATATATACTTCTACTAAAAATCTTGAAAGAAAGTGTTGTATAAGGATTAGTCTTGTATTTGCATTGAACATATAAGTTCAATTAATATCTTTCTACACAAATATCTTTCTACACAAACTACATAATGGTACATAATGAACTATTTTGTTTCATGCATTTTTAAATTCATTAAAAAGCAAATGCACGAAGCAATATGCCATCCAAAGGAATGCAAAATAGAAAATCTCCCTTAGAAACAGGGTAACTTCTTCTTTCCCACATAGCAAGTAGAGCTAAACTCCCAGAAAATACCACCAGGAGCATCGACATGCAATTCCTCGTTTTTGAATTCAGTGGACCTTGAGAAAGTAAAAGGAATAAAAAAATAAGGTCCTGAAAGGAAATGACAATACTCGGGAAAAAAAGACATTTTATTTTCAGCCCAAAGGCCAACATTTAGTGTCTAAGAAGACACACTAAAATTTATTATCTACAGAAGTGAAATACTGCAGTAAAAAATTATTCCTCATTCCAATGCTCACAACACATCAGACTTAAATCTACTTGAGATGTCAGTTAAAGAAATTCTCTGAGGTCCAGCTGGGTTACTAGATTAGGCAACTGAAATCTCTGTACACAGCAAGAATCTTAAAAGAAAACCTGTTCTCACTTTTTTTAAAGGAGCAAAGCTCTTACAGAAGTAAGAACTGCATTCTTTTTTGGAAGGTACATAACAGTGCTTAAGTAGTATAGCTCTGTGCCAAAAGAACAGAATTATATGTTACAAATCAGAGGTACTTGCCTTTGTTGCTTCAATGGTAGCTACTCCATGTTGGATTGCTTCACCATTTTCCAAATATCCAATGCCCACTGCTACTAATAAATCACTTTCTGGTCCAAATACATTAAACTTTCAATCTTTTTTCTCTCTCTCTCTTTCTCACCACCTCCCTTTTAAAAAGCATAAAATTATTTACACAAAATCGACACAAAGTTAGTTACACAAATAATTTGGTAGCACTTCAGCTATGGTCACTGAATGATGTTTAACATGGTTCTAAAACTTCAGAAAATACAAAGAGAGCTGTTAAAAAAATCCCAAACATTATACAGGAGAATTGTAGTTCAAATTGGTGGATAAAAGGATTAAAATCTACAAGTGGGTACTGTTACCAGCTGATCCAGTGGCTCATGCATCAACATATAAAACGCATGGTATTTTATTCCTCAGGTTATTAATATAATGTTGACAGCCAGACATGACAGAAATAGCATTAGTTAAATTTTTCAGCATTTGCCATACTAAAGCTGCATTATAACCATCAGTTCTCCTACAGGGGTCTAGCATTGCTCTTTTTGAGTAAATGGGAATTACAGAGTAGATCTAGGTGGTTTACTCTCCTTGTGCAGGCTTCCATTGTAACCTACTGCATACATTTTCTGTAAAGCCAAATAGCATTTCTTAGGCATTTCAAATAACAATGTGTTAAGAAAGATACAGAGATAAGTACAGGTATGATAGTTGCAGAAATCAGGACATAAATGCTCTCATRAAATGGGACTGAGTAACAAAATAAATGTCATTCACTTTCAGATCTTCTAACTCAAGGAGTACAAATCAAATATAGTTCCTACAGGTTTTTCAAAAAAAGGTAAAAAATCCTCAAAACTTCAGCCAAGTAATGGGGTAAAAGAATCTACAAATGTAATTACATATTACGTAGGGGAACAAATCAGTATTGCAGAGACAGAAAAGGGGAAGTGTCTTGTCACTGTAAGACAAAAGTTAAAATACCAGACTATTGTCTCTAGCAAGGCACAGGCTATACACCCCTTTACTTGCATAAAATAGTGCTAGAGGCAAAGCTCAACAATGGTCTAGTTTAAGAATCATGTCTGTGACATACCAATATCTGAGATCCACTRTAAATAATATATCACAGGTATAAATTATACAGTTTGCCCCTCTGTTTTTCCCTCATTTTTATCCTGCAATTACTAAAATGCTTAATCTTCCCTGCTTAGTTCTCTGTGTAACAAAAGCTAAAAAAAAACCCACCCTAATTACAGAACAGATTTTCATATCCTTTTTTTGTTTTGCCACTTCTGCTCTATTGAAACATTTTCAAACTAATAGAAGAGCTCAGCCTTCTTAACACTTAATACAGAGCAAACTTCCTGCAAATTCCACAGTGCCACTCCCTTCTTACCAGAAATCAACTTGCACAAACCTTCTCTTCACATTCCCCTTTCTCCATTCAGTTCTCAAAATGGATCACAAAAACATAGAGAAAAGAAAATAAGTCTTCCTCAGATCATCATTCTCCTAAGAGCATGTTTGCAAGGCCTATACCTAACATTGATGAAGGCAAGTGACTTTGTGAAGGTTTTACAAAACATTTTCTGAACAAAAATGCAGCACAATCCACTGAGTATTTCTGCTTCAACAGATCTGGAGAAAAGTTTTTAATTTATGCTTCATTCAGGTAAGGGCTATACGGGTTTGGGTGGCACCCAGCTTCTTTTGTTTTGTCCTCTATTATAAAAATGAAGAAGTAAGGCTATGTGAGGCATCTTCAAATAAAAGTCTGAGCTCTTGCAAAGACAATACACAGATCAYCCTCTGCTTTCCTCATTGCAAATGACAATATTCAGACATTGTCGATGAATAGTCTTTCTCTGTATCACATGATTTCCTTCAGTRAAGTCATTGAGGATCTCTGAATCAAGGATGGAAAGGCATCAGATCTTCTTCTGGGATCCAATCATGACCTTTGATACAAAGTTCACAATGGCACTGGCAGGTTGTTCTGGATCATGCTCTGCAAAGAGGTGGCATACGTTGTCTGCGGCACTGCCTTGCTTCCTGGCAATGAACCCAAACACTCTGCAAGGGCAGCAATCACAGTATATCACAGAACTGACAGATAAGCATCGCCTCACTTCATAAAACAGAAAAGCTACTGAAGAAACCAAGCATACAAAGCAGACTTCTTTGTTCTGATGGACAAGATCCCATGTGACTGCTAAACACAGTTGTCCAGATTGACCAGCCAGATCAGAAGAGAMTCAGGGAAGGAGACTGTCCCCTTTCCTCTCCTCTGTACAACATCCTTTACTATTCGCTGTCAGAGATATGCTGCTGACCCTGGGGATATAAATCTGATTCAGTACTGCTGTTCTCTTACCTACTTTGGGGGGCATGTGGTGTGGACTATCGGGGATCACCCGAAGAAAGGTTTTTGAGGGCCACACATCTCCATGGACAGAGTATTGGAAAAAGGATTTAGGCCGTCTTTTCTGTTCCTTTCCAGAAACAAGTGCTGAGCCTCTCTGTTTAAGTTATTTCTTTTGATTAAAGGGTGACAACATTTGCCTTCAACAGAGAACACTTTGCAATCCCCTTGTAATTAAGTATTTATGCCACACACTAATATTACTAGGAGTGTTATAATCTGTGTACTGGAGGAGGGATTTTTTTTTGAGCTATCAATCTAAGTGAGACAAGCTTGTGTTAAGTCTTGCTGGACAGGTGGAACACAAAACTGAGAGGCAAACAGCTCTGTTTAACTTCTGAAATCATAGTCAAATCACAGACCTGAAGTCTAAATAAACCATGCTAGCTCTAGGTCTAGACAGCCCACCACCACCCATCACACAATTAGACCCTAACTTGCAAAGGTGTAGTTGAAGTAACTAAAGTCTAATTGCAATGGGCTGGGAGACTTTTGTCTCTGAACAGCTGCTTTCCCTTCCACATCTCTACCAAAAGTAACTTAGGACACCAAGAAMTGGATCACTTTAATGATTTTCCTAAAATAGTCAGTTAAAAGAGACTCCACTTACTTTGCAGAAAGGCCATCTTTCATCCACCTTGTCCATTAAGAAAGCAGTAAAAAAAAACATGGAAAGGAGAAACAAAAATAAAACTTATGTTAGTTTTCATTTGTTTGTTGTCTTTTTTTAGTAGATCAACAATACAAATAACATATTAAAAATAATGCTTATCATACTTACTTTCTATCCTGTGGATCCAAAGCACAGAAAATAACAGTGTTGACTGAATAATGTCGTCGAAAAAAGAGTCTGGATAGGAAGGGATAGAACAAATTTCAGAAACAGTAGAAATGCTTAGAATTCTGAACAATGAAGAAATCTGAAAAATAAATTTAGTCTTAATTTAATAAAGACAATCAATTCCCTTTGCTATCTCTGAGTGACTTTGAAAGCCACCTGAACTGCTCCAGCCAAATAATGATGTATTTAGAACACTAAGATCAAGTTTTTGAAYAAAAGGAAAACTGACTCTCAAGCTAAGAAAAAGGACTAGGAGTATGAAATGTATTTTTTTTTCTAAAAACTGGTCATTTAGATACTATTTTAATTGGACAGACAACTTTGTAGAACTCATGAATACTGTCCTCATACCATGTTTCAAAATATTCACACTCCCAGGCATTACAACTGAAGGTTCTGTGACCTGTTACAAACGATTGCAGACTCCAAGGAATTCAGAAGTCTGGCACTTTTTAACCCATTCTTGTTGTCCTTTCTTTGTTATTGTCATTCTTCTAATTGAAAGAGTTTGTGGTAGCCTACACAACAAAGTATAAATTTACTATTCATCATAGTTTTTTACAGGCTATCCAAAACACTGTTTCAAATACCGGAGATACACAGAATCTGTTTAAGTCAGCTCTCTTCAGTGATACTAGTGAAAGACATAACGAAGATAAATTATTTCACTGAAGAGGTTCAATATCAAATGCTAGCAAAACCATTACTTTTCCTTTTTATAAGAAATAAGTCAAAGTGACCTTCCAGAGATAAAATATGCTATGTGGAAGTAAAATCCACAGCTGAAAAAATATATTTTCCTGTACTGTAGCCAGTTTACACAGTCATYATCATTCCTATAATCCTAGTATCCTCTGAGACAGAGATTGCAAAATGTAACTAGGAATATCAAATCAACATTGGCCAACACCTGACAGGGCCAGATATTCTGCAGACAGGGACAGATATTCTCTTCCCATCCTTCTTTTGCTTACTTTCTTTGATTATCTGTCAGTGTGATTCCCTGAGCAGAGACCTTGAAATGCACAACAGTTGAGACAGGAGAAGGATCTTGCATCAGTGTCAGGCTCAAGGCTTTCTGTACTGCCTGGTGGCCTGTAAGGGACTCCATCTCCACTGAATTCAGGTACCAAACATTACAAGCTGTAATGAAAGAGGGTAAAGATTTTGAGAGATCRCAAGCCTTTTGCTCTCCTTTGTTTTTAATACTTTTATATCAAAGCCAATGACTATATATATCTAATACTCATAGACATCCTGAAATTTCAAGAAATACAAGACAGCACCATAGTACACTTGTAGGTACWACTGGAGCAAAGGCATTCTTGAGAGGAAAGAATGCAGATATTTTGCTTTTAAGTTCAAATACATCAGCCAGAAAGAAAACATATATTTGCAGCACATGTTCCCTCGTTATACAGTTTCAAATGGTTTTGAACTCTACTCAAAAAAACCATTCACTTGATTGGCAAAACAAGAATGTTTTCATACCAGAAARAACTGAGCATTATTGTAAAGCTCATTTCTCATTAATTCCACAGTATTTTGTATGTTTTAATGGTTTCAGGGCAAACAAAATAACTTGTACACAGATAAAAAGTACTGACATATATTTTTATGCCTTTTCTTTACATCAGCATGCACTTACTTCCAAAAGTACTGTTTCTCTTCCAAAGATATTAGTAACTTCTGAAATATCTCTATAAAACAGTTTCTCATTTGTTTCTAAGGCAACCAAACMGTTATTTTTAATATGATTTCATACCAAATCTGCGGTGAGCACAAGGCAAATTTGCGTTAATATTATATGGCATTATATAGTAGTACTGTATTACTGTATAATACTGCATAGTACAGTGCCATCTAATGTATAAACTATTACACTATATAGTATTAATAGAATTATTCACCTGATTACTATGGGAATGTGGTATAAAGTCAAACTGAAAATTTAGAACAAGCAAGAATGATYATGCATATCCATAGCTAAACACTAGTACCAAGAGATTTTGTATTTGGTAAAAACATTTGTGTAAGTATCCAGGACAAAATTTACAACTCTGGCAGCTCACACATACACGTTACCATGGTCATATTTCATTTGTTCAGCAGTTTCATTTGGCCTGCCAACCCTACTATGAAATCCAAGATTAAATTAAATCTAACAGATTCTCTTTTCAGATGGCTAATGAGTAATCTGCCTTAAGCTTTCTCCTATGACTTTGTACATAAAAATACAGAGCTAGACACCGAGACTTTCAAAATAACCAAGTAAATCATACAGTTAAAAACTGCATAAGCCTAAGCTGGATTCAAGCATAATGATCAACCTAGACTTTCAAGCTCTGGAGTCCATCAGTGAAAGAAGGCATCCTGAGATTTCATTTATTTGATCTGCAAGTGTAAAATTTCAAAATGTATTTCTGCATTGCTGTGGAAGTTTCAATAACTTTTGCTTGAATCAATTACAATTCATGTACAGAGGGATTTCAGATGAAGAGAAGCAACCGAAAATGTAATGAGCATTCCAAACTATGAATGAAACTCTCTTCTTCTCACCTCATTACTGTGTATGATTGGCACAGACCTAAAGTTCTCTTCACTACCCTGTGAGTCTTTCCCACCACAGGAAGCTTCCCTTCTTTCACAGCCACGCACATCAGAGTCCCCTCCTCTTCTGCCACACAGTGCACTGCTGTCAACAGACTGTTTACAGGTTTTGTTTCTAAATGAAATTGCCAAGTATTTTATCTAGATTGCCCTCAAAATGGCAGCTCTAACAGCAGTTACCAAATACCATAAATATATTCCTTTGTTTCAGTGGCATAAAAAATGGTAAATGGAACCTTTTACAAAAGTGTTGTAAAGTAAAAACATGTCAGCTTAAAAAGAAGAGGAAAGGTGTCTTGGTTTGAAAGACAGGTGTTTGCCAATGAAGGCAGGGACCCCCCTTGGAGTGGTGGATATGACCCCCCTTCCCTCCGAATTATTATAGCTTTGAAAATCATGGGCTTTCAGGCAAGAATATGGGTAAAAGGGAATAACAGTTTTTACTAGYACATATAACAAGGTGAAACAAATAACAACGATAGCAACAACCAATACAGCCACAAACCCAATGACAGCTTCACACACAGACAGACCCTCCCCTTTGGTGCAGTTACGGTCCCAGTCAGCAGGGACACTGTTAGCTCCTGACGAGGCAGGGCGAGTATGATGATTCCCTGGCAGCTGTAAGAGGCGCTGTGGCGCGGGTCCCGGCTCGGTTCAGATCTCCCACGTGGCCAAGGACAGGCACAAACYGGCAGAGATGGATGGAGAAAAGTTCCTCTACAAACTCACAGGGGAAAATGCTGATCCCAATGCTCCCTCTGGACAGCAAGAAACCTCAGAATGGCCAGATGGGCAAAAAGACGAGCAGAATCCTGTGGCTGTAGACTGCAGCTGGAATCCCAGGGGTCCCCGGCAAGGCATGGCACAAGAGATCACAGTGCAGCAAACAGGAACCGACAACCGGATGCTGGTCTGCAGCAGCCGGTCCACCATCCTCCCCAGAGCCAAGCAGGGCAGGAAGTGAAGCTACCCCCCGCCCCCCCCCCCCCCCATACATGCCCTCCTCCAGCCCAAAACTCCCACAAGAACTTCCCTCTCTCCAAAGAGAGGAAAAAAGAAAAAAACTTCCAGGCAGGAGGAGTGCCCAGGGAGACCCTTCAGCTCCACTTAGGGCGTAGGTTCTTTTGTCGCCCAGCCATTCAAAGAATGACTTGGCAGTCAGTGTATCCCAGCAACAAAATGGGAAAGAAAATTCCCCAAGAAGGGAAACAAAAGGAGAAACCTTAACCCACAACAAAAGGTAATGAGAAACACTGAAAGATTTCTCATTTAAGAACATCATGCATAGTCTGACAAGATATCAATTACAATAACTGCAGAGAAACCATACTCCAAGCTAGAACTAAAGGAAGACCTTTTGTTCAGTGCAGCTGCCCCTGAAATGCTGCTGCTCTTATCATTCAGTTGGCATTTTGGAGCATATCTGTGCCGCCAGAAACAGCTTAACAATATTGCTTTTAGACTGGGAATGCCCTTTGTTCAGAATGCTTAGTTCCTTGACTGTATCAGGATAAAGAGGAAAGAAGAACTGCAATTTATTTGGGCAAAAAATTTTGTTGCTTAACAGGAATGTTATTAAAGCAAAGTGCATTCTTGGGAAAAGCCTCTTATCTGTATGGTTTCTAGTCTTCAACTGTCTCTGCCTACGAAACAAAGGATTTCTAGTCAGCTTCAGCACTTAGATAATGTCCTGTGGTRACTGTAAATAATGGTGTACTTGCTACGGTCTGCTTTATGCAGAGAAAAAAAAAAAACCCTGTCTTCATTGATTTTGTGTCAATCCTGTATTCCTATATTCTGTCAGCTTGTATGCCCAAAAGGTGCCTGTGCCTTTAAATGCGACCTGGAAGAAGGGGCAGGGGTGTCTGGGAAGCCAGCGGGCAGTTAAAAGCTGGGCTGCCATGCTGCCGGGGGCTTTTGGACCTCAGCTCGGCATTGCAGGAGTCCTGCCCGCTGAGTGTAGGGGAGTTACACTGTTGCCGTTTAGCCAGCTCGGGTTTGTTAGCTTGGRCAGACAGCTTTCCCTGGACTGCCACCCCCTCTGCAGCRCCTGTGATTTTTCTTCTGGAGCAATTCGGAGGCWGGTGGGGACAAGCAGCACCGCTCCATCTCGTCCCGGACTCTGGAAGAAGCCAAGCCAGTGACAGAAAAGCATACCGAGCCCTCTGTTTCATCCACAGTGAGGAGAGGACTATTCCACTGTTGCCGGAGCACCACATGGAGTTTTTTTGTTTTGTTTCTTTTTCCCAGGGACAGGAGCTGTGCCATCTTTCTCYGCACCACGTGGCCGAGCGGCTGTGGGGGGAGGGAGCAGTGTGTGTTTCTGGACTTTTAAATATCTAACAGTTACTCAGTTTCTTTAATCTGTGTCCTGTGGGCATCTTGTTTTGTTAATAAACCATTTTTCTCTTCATTTTTGCCCAAACATCTATTTCAGATACAGGAAAYATATTTCATTTCAGAGGAAACATTAACTCTGTAATTTTTTTCTCTGAAAACCTTGTCTCAAACCAAGACACCCTCCTGTAACTGTACCCTGGGTCTGGAGGAGCCAAGGCTGCTCTGGCAAGAGTTTTTGTGGTTTGTTTTTTCTCTACTCAAGGACTATCTCCCAGTAGCTGGGTTTTGCTATATGTGGGGGGGGTGTTACTCGGCACACATTCTTATTAGCTGCTTCTTGCTAGCTGCTGCTCTATGCTGTGGCTACAGGAAGTTGGTTTGTTTTTTTTTTTTTTTTTCTGCAGGACTGCTTGTGTTCTTCTTGGATTCTGCAACTTGCTTTCTTATTTGGACACCAGACAATCTCTGGGGCAAATGGTCAGCAGGACCCCTGCAGGGAGCTGTTGGAGYGACTCTCATCCCAGTCCTGGGCCACCAGGGAATGAAACCATGCCCAGCACAGAAGGGACTCTAAAACTCCACTAGCTTGCCAGGTTCAATATCTAATCGCYCCTTTTGCCCTTGTGCCTTGTGGGCATTTTGTTTTGTTTTGTTAAATAAACAGGTGCTTTTCACTTTCCTCTAAGAGATTTATTTTCCAAGCCTGGCTGTGGAGAGGAGCTGCTAGAACTTGGGAGCTTTTGCCTCCCAATTTGTCTCAAACTGAGACAGATAGAAACTGGAAATGCTCATAAGGTTTTCTCAGGCAGTTACAAAAAATCATCTTTCTAGGAAAACATGTAATTTTTTGCTTGTAGAGTGAGAAGTGTGAGTAAAGAAGGCAGGGAGAAAGTACATCAGCTTTAAAGTTTCTTTGAAAGGACTCAGTTTACATGCTTTGAGTTTGCATTTCAATATTGAACYCCACAACTTGAATGCTTTCTGTGACTGGAAAGGGAACCCTGATGTATCAAAGCAGAACAAAAAAGCTCTGAGAATCTCTCAGAGCTAATATATCTATTTGGGTTCCAAACTCTCRTTTAAAAACACATTAAAAACAGATTAAAAACACATGTACTAGTACCCTAAATGATCCATGACATGACAACTCTCATAAGGAGTTAACTGACTATTGCCTCAGTTGAAGGAAGAATTATTTCTTTTTCTTTGAAAAGCATTGTCTGAGTAAGGAGAAATCAACATTTCTYGAAAGACAACATATGCCCCTTTTGATGGCTTTTATAGAAGTAAAGTTCTACAAAAATTAATTYTCCTTGTTTCTCCCTGTTGGCTACAGCAAACACCAACCAGTGTGCCAACACTTGCTCACTGATAGCACAGTCTCAGCCATGCATGCCTGCTCAATTACAGCACTTTAAAGTGCACATATTAAAGTCAAACCAGATTGTTGCAGAAGCAAGAAGCAACACTCTCTTCAGAGCTGGCCAGATTGACAACTGCCCCTTCAGAAGTGCTCTAAAATATTTGAGGGCAATGAGGCAGTGCTCTTAGAAAGGCATGCTTTGCCACAACACTCACTTGTGGATCCAGTAGTAGGCCAAACTCAAAAGAAAGTGGTAAATGTAGTGTATTCCCGAGCTTTAATGGCACTAATTGGGTGGGTCCTGGGGAGAATTCATAGCAACCTGAAAACCAAGGACCATGGGAGAGCACRGGCATGATCCTCTGGAATAATACAGGAGATGCATTTCTACTAAGGGCCACCTTAAGATTATGCAGGAATATTCACTGTCCAATACAGTGAGGCAGGATGGCACCACACTTTTTCAGACAGGCTGTTTAACTAGCTCTGGATCAGTGGCACACTTATAAAGCGGGTAAGAAGCAGAGCAAACCTCTATACAGCTGCTGCAAACATCCCAGTTTGAGACCCATACAAATGGCAACAATGCATAGCATAGCATCATTTGGAGGTACTCTGGTCAGGGGTCTTCTGTCACATCAAATAAGCTTGTGGTAACACAACTCAACTTGCCAGAACAGGTCCTGCATTATCCATGAGAATCCATTAAACAGCATGCAGTGGAAAAGACACACGGCATTTTCTAACAACATGCAGCACCAAGTGAAGCACAGGGAACTGCTCTTTAATTTTTTTTTTCAGATTGATGCCACAGCATCAATCTGAAAAAAGCATTTTCCAGTGGTATTGTTAACCCCCACGATGAGAACTTAACCCTAACTGAACAATTTCCTTAGCTGGTTTTTGCAGACCTCATACATAGTTCTTGAACCTCTGCAACAACAGGTTGAAAATATCCTCTCGAAGTTTATCACTTATGAAAGCAATGTCCTGCTTAAAAATTGCTATGCTTGAAGACACCTACACACACCTCATATTCTCATGAGATACATGACTGGAAAGCAAATACAGGGTTGTAGAGCTTAGGAGCTGACTGCAGAAAACAAAGAACCTGGTACATATCCTCCCAGTGCCCTTTACACTTCTACCCAGCATTCTAAATTTAACTGCCACTTTTACATATCCTTCAATCCAKTCTAAGCTTCAGCCTGTAAGAGAAAAACATCAGTGATAGTCAAAATGCAAGGACAAAGTTTAACAGACCTGCACCCTGTTTGAGAAGCTCCGCAGCTGAGTTTGCAGCAGTTTGTGGAGAAGTTTCTGCTATCTCCTCCAAGGGATCTGCAAACAGAAAACACTATCCATGTCTTATATGGACTTGAATCAACAAATCAAAGCTCATGGTCAAGTATGAACTTAGCATTTGTAACTGCAATGTCAGCTACTACTATACAAATAACCTTGTATCTGCAATTATAATAATTCATAATTTTTGTGCTGCATCAGTTTCTTTTGCCTCAAGCACTGCAAGAGAGATGCTTAACCTTTATTTCCTGCCAATAAACATAACAACATAGCATATAKTGCACAGACACACATGATGACATACTAAGACAATACTTATAGCTAAATTTCCTCACTACAGCCTGAAATAKTTTAAATAGTGTGATTTTAATGATCTCATTTGATTTGTATAACTTACATTAATTTATACAGAAAGACTTTTTGTTACCATGATGAAATCAATTCAATATATTTTGATTCAGAGGATGACAACACAATGCTCCTTTCTTCTTAAATTGAAAAAACCCATCTGCACCTTTAAGACAGCAGTGGAATATTTACCTCCCAGTTGTTCACTGGGAGTTCCCACTCTCACTACTAGAAGTAGTGAGAAACTGTCCACCAGCATGTTATTGCAGGTATATTAATGGATATAAAAAGATCTTATTTACTGCTGCATTTAGGATGAGGTATGCTGTCTTTGAATATAATGAAATGAGGAAGAGAGCCATAATACGGTTTGGAACACTATTCACATGTCTGGAGTCACAATTATCCAAACATTTTACATACTCCGGGCACTGGATCCTGTCATTAACCACAGAWGATCATCTTAAAATACATGATCAAGTCAGATTAAAATATAAATCCAAAATAAAATTTCACTATGGTATGTTTATTCAAGACAAGGCACATGTTTCAATCCTGAACCTCTGGAAGAACAGAGTAAGTTTTCTGTCTTAGGTGAGGGGGACAAGGAGAACATGCCCACCTCCGTACTGTTTTGCCACATAAATGCATGAGATCTCCTGTCACATCTAGCATAGCATATTTTGTGCTAAAATGGTTTCATCAATGTATTCACACAAATCAAATGTTATTTTTGTCCATTAACTCACAGTCTGTAACAAAAGTTTAAAGGGCTCAGTCAAAAATCACAAGAACATTTAACATTTCAAAAGCGCATCTGGGGTTAACCTCACATGGGAGAATATCAGACAATTGAATTATTGGACAAGCGTGAGCATTTTGGTTTTGTCTTAAGACTGGTTTATGAAATCAGGATAATCAAAATTAGAATCATAATCCCATGAAGCAACACAGGCTTTTTGATCATTTACTTAAACAACATCTCAACCTGTGCAAGTTGCTACATTCTTCCTACCAGCATCACACTCAGGGCACCATCTGCTTTTTACCACTTTGTCCTTTTGTTATCCAGACGTGAATGAGTAGTTAAACCTAAAGATACACTGGTGTAATGTCATGTCTAAGAAGTAAATTTGTCTTACTCCATGGTAAATTACTGGGTGGATTTCCATGATGCATATGTTCATGACTGGAACATCACAGCACTAGTATGCTCTCAACTACACTTTCGATAAGGGTCATCACCAATACTGAAGAATCACTTTTACAACACAGCTTGCTCCTTAGTGCATTTTTGCTTAGATCTCAACTTGTAACACCTTCACCTGCCTTCAGACACTGACACTTAGAAGCAAAGCTTGGCTGCGAGTATCTCTTCTGTACTTCAACAAGCATACCTCTGTCTGGGATGAGAAGCTTGCAGGGCAATGCCAGAGGAGTGATAGAATGCTGATACACCAGAGCTGTCAAACTCCCTGTTGTCAGAAAAGTAACAAGACATGCACAGTTAACTTCCTGGACAAGAAAGCATAAGCTATGTTTGCTGTCAAGTATTTTATAGACTAAGAACCCCCTCCGTTTACCTTTAAAAATCTCTTGGCACCTAACCAAGATCTTCTTGAACTCATTAATCACAACCATATGCTCCCTTCACCTCTTAAATACACTTAGATCCTAACCTAAATGTCTGTGCTTCAAGTGGAGAAAATTTAAAATTTAAAAATTACAAAATTTAAATTTAAAAATTACAAAATCAGTAACGTATAGAAGTCAGTAAATTCTTTTCAATGCCCTTAACCTCTGGTAAAAGTAGTAAAATCTTACAAAGGTGATAAAGAGCACAAGAGGTCGCTTGTGCTACATGATTACAGCATAGAGTTCTACCTCTTAACCACCTAGTCTTCATCATCTCGTGTTCTGTCTACACACACCTCCATTTTGTACATCTAAAAGTATAAAAGATGGTCTAGGTAAAACCTCTTCCATTCAATGTAGCAGTGATRTATGCAGCATTCTCTATTAAATTAACCTTCTTTTACATTCAAAGTCACTCTTACAATTGGGTCGTGGCTTAACTGAAGTAATTCAACATTAGTTATCTTTGACATTAGCATGTGAGACTATCCATCCAGGAGTGAGAGGAAGGCATAGYATTCATCAATCTGTCTGTACAAACAGCCATCCTTCAGTCCCATTTATTAACAAGCACCAAACATTTTACTCCTGTGCTGAAGAAAAATCCCAGTTGAACCAAAACCAACCTCATTTTTACAGTCAATCAAAAATTCCTTTGAAATGGAAAGATTCCCAATTCTGCAAGGGTCTTAGATACTATTAGCCCTTTACTGCTTTACCCATAAATATGTGTACTAGTGCCTGTTCATCTACTCTGGGAAGCAGTTTTGATGCTGCATCCTTGGTTACAACGTGGGGTGTAACCGAGCTTTGTATTACACTCCCATCTACATCATTCCCGATAAATTGTTAGCGGTGGGATGTTTGCAACATCTGTCCCGTGCACCCCAAACCCCTCAGACTGCAAGCTGGGTGTTAGAGCAGGGAGAAGAGACAAATCCTGCAAGGCGATGTTTCCTTCTCTTCACAATTAACTCAGCTGTGATAACTACACTCATCCTAAGGGGATCTGCTAATGGGCCATCATGGACTCAATAGCCCATTAGCAGAACTGGCAACTGCAATGACTCAACAGTATTACATCATTCCACTGTGAAATCCTCTGCCCTGGGGGAGGTACCACCTCAACCCGACTGTTTATAATCTGGGTCCTTGGGAACTTGGGACACAACTACCACTGCTCAACAGAYCTAGAAGAGGATCAGACCTTCCACAGGACCACCGCTTTCAACAAGATTGCAACAATCACTTCAACAGGACTGCAAGCTTTATCAGACTGTGACCAYCACCCTGACCAGCAGGGTGCAAGGTTGTACTCTGATTTTGTGGGTTTAAGTCAGTATTTCTGTATCATTGCATCTACTGTAAACTATTAAATTGCAATTCTGACTTGAAATCTCTTGCAAGGAATTTTGTAGGGTTCATCTCTCCCAGTGGTTAGTTCTCAAACCAGCACTGTACACACTGAAACATTAGGAGATGTTCAAACTAAGTGACTAGTAGGGCTACAGATGTGCCTAAACAGGTACTTCAAGATTGAGGTAGGAATGGACTAAAAATTCTGATTTAAGTCTCATGCCAAATACTGATAAACTTCAATCCATCTTTGCTTTAAATATGACTTCAATTTCACATGGTAGATGACCCTTTCACAGGTGTATTTGGTGTATATGGCAAGGCCTGTAACAGGGGGCTGGGTGGGCTGCACGATGACCTCTGGGTAGAGTCCAGGGGCTTTTCATGCTGCACACAGCCCGTTTCAGCAGACCCACTGCAAGGCACCTACGGACAAAAGGTTGGGTGAGACACAGCAGAGGGAACACTAAGGAGAGAGGASGAGGAGGAGATGCTCTGAGTATCCAAGCTGCCATTCCCCATGCTGTAGCCTCTGAAAGACCTCACACTGGAATAGATGGGACCTTTTCTGAATGAGACGTAGTCGACAGAGAGCACATGATGGAACAGATATTATTCCTGAAGGATGGCAACCCATGGGGAAAGCCTGCATCCCAGGAGGGAAAAATTGGGAGGGGGATGRAGCAGCAGAGGAATTGTTCTGTAATGACCATATACCCTCACACCCACTGCAGTGGGCATGAGGAGTCTGAGATGAAGTGAAATTGAGCTTGGCAAAGGGGAAGGAAAAGTGTTATTTAATACTTGTCTCGGTTTCTCATGTTAAGGAAACTTCCCTGTCTGACCATCTAGGAGCCACTCTGGCAGTCACTCTCACATCACCCAAGCTGGGACTCACAGTCCCTTCACAGCTACACCAACCATGGTATTTCACAGGTACTGTCAGACCATGTTTCTTCAGTAGCTCAACTCCAGGTTTCCCTTAGCAGAGTCTCAGACATGCAGATCCTAAAAGTAATTTAATCTTAGTGCAACAACTTAATAACAGCTCAAGATGGGTGCCTCCAAGGAGAGATACCTTTACAGTCTAAGGGCAGGAAAATCTGAGGGTTGTAGGCTGCTGCTGTATCTCGAGTGTCTGGTCACCTGGCCTGCTCCACAGGTCCCCAGGCCTTTTCTTATGTGAAGGGKCAGCAGGTCAGGGCCTCTTGCCTGGGACACTCACAGGTCAATCTGCAGTTCATACTTCCAGACTGCAAACCTAGCTCCCTGCACTGAATGTATCCCTCAACATATTACTACCTGAATATTGATCTGAATTGGAAAAGTATTAACATGATTTTCCCCAAATTGAGTTTCTTTTGCCCTGTAACTGGTTAGCATCTCCCTGTTTTTATCTTAACCCATAAACTTTCTCATCCTATTTTCCCCTCCTACCCCAAATGAGTGGAAAGTCAATGAGTGARCAGCTAGGGAGGTCTTTAGCTGTTTGCCACTACAAGTATTGCACTTCCATCATATTACATTAGGGAGGCTGATGTAGCCAGGTCTCACTCTGGTGTCATTCTTAGCCACCTTATATGCAGCATAAATATAACRCAGAACAAAGGTCCTGAATCAATTAGGATGGTAAGAGTGATCTAGCTCAGCTTTCTGGAGCAACATTGGTAGTTGCAAGACAAGCCTGCAAGACAAGCTTGACTGTTTGAAGCTTAGTGATGTGCATCTGTGGTAGAGCGCCCCGCACATCTGCTTAAGGTGAATATGCACAAGGCTCCTGGAACCTTGGAATGTGTTCCTACAGAAGTCATCAAGACTTGAACAAGTAGACTCTCATTTGCACTCCATCTAAGCACTGGAAAACACCAACTGTTTCCATCTTCTCTGTCCCTGTGATGCACAGTACTTACCAAAATATGGCTCATTCAGGCATCCTTTCAAGCGTACCCCCTTCTGAGTACATTCAATCAGAAAATGCCTTACAAGTTCATTTGACAAATCTCCAACTGTGTTGAAAAAAAAAAAGCTCATGAAAAAAATCAATTAACAGACAAGTTTCACAAATCAGGTCTTCATGAATTGGTTTTTCCACATAACTACCAAACATTTTATATACAGAATGCAAATACAATTAGACCTACTCTGCAAGTCACAAGATGTATCTAAAAGGCCATTTTGCAAAAAAGCAAATAGCTCACTTTAGACACCCAGAGGAAATGGTTTTATATTCTTAAGTGAGTGACATCCAAATATACACTGGTGTCCAAAATTGTCCAAGTATGGCCCAAACTACAGATAGGAAGAGAAATTTGGAAAATCAGTGTTAGAAACTTTGATGCACTTGCCCATTAAAAGAACTTGTATCCAAAGTAACAAGAAAGTAAAAGTATGGGAAAATACTCCAATTTGCAGTTCTGTTCACAGAAGTTCTCCAGATTAAAACAAGAGTAGATTTAACCACACAAAGGTAATGATGGCTATTCTCTCAGTGAATTTTTAAGTTTGCAAATGTTTGCAGTTCCATGCTAAGTCTCTGCTCCTGAAAACAAACAATTACAGGACACACTGTTTCACTAGATTTTAAGAGCTTTTTAATCTCAGGAATCTAAGAGAAACCAAAATTGTTGACTTGGATGTAAAGAGGTGATTCAAAGTCCCATAGACACGCAAAAATTCCCTTGAGATTTAGCATTCTTTTAACATTTATTTCTAGAAAGATGGAATCACAGTATTTCATTCCTGACTAAAAATTGCATCCCTCTCCAAATAATTAAACAATTACTCCATGGCAACAGGACAAAGCTATTGAACCATTCAAGCCTTAACAAAACAAACACATGTGGTCCCTTTGGTCTATCAGGAAACATGTCAACAGTTGACTTTCAGGCTAATACAGATGAAAGCATTAATATGGACAGCAGAAACCTCTATGCAAGCAAATACTGATCACTTTTTCAAACAGCTTACTGTTCGCCATTATGCTCTCAAAAAATTAAAAATAAATGGCTACAAGGAATGTGGGAAAGGGAAACCTTGAACAAGAAACCCTACAGAAAACTGAACTAATTTGTGCCTTCTGGGATTAAACAGGGTAAACCAAAAAAGCTAAGTATCACAAAATGAGAAGTGAAAGAATGCTACAGTCTTACTATGACTTGCCTTTGGTACTACTAACATAAATTGTCTCTTAAAGGCTGGCAGAGTTTGAATTTTTATGTCTCCTGAGACTTCACAGATCTGATTATAAGAGAAGATTATTAAGAACACCTACAAACCACTTTCAATTTGCCTTCTAGCTGCTGTTATCACCACCCCAGTACATATGTGTTGTCTTCATTATATAAGACATTGAAGTGGTTCTGCTGGTGTTTATTGGCAAAAAAATACACGGCAAATTGTTATTAAAAATTGTTTCAAGACACCAGATTAAAACACAGTTTCAAAATTTTACTGTAACAGAGGTGAACTACTAACTTCATCCCAGAGTAAGCAAATCCAAACCAACAGCCAAACAAAAACAGCCAAAACCACACTTCCATAAAAACAACACTAAGAATAAATGCTTTCCTGTAATCTTAGCTGCTTACCTCACCAGTCAGCAAGTACTAATGAAACATAATAAGCTTTGCAAAAGAAAAACAGCAGCAATAAAAACCACTCCACTACCCTTGCAGTAGCAGAAATGGAACCAAGAACACTACACATACCAGCTGCTGAGTTTCCATACACCAATTAGATTTCTGTACATTCTTCTCACTTTACATTCCAAAACCATCACCCACTAATTATATATGGAGGCACTAGAACTGGCAGAATAAGTCTATAAATCACTACTTTTTAAATAAKTATCCTTAGGAGCCCCTTCAGATATGTATCTGAATTAGAACTGTCTCAAAATAAAACTTTGGATCAAAAATATTCAGCTCTCCAGCTAAGCGAAAAATCTACATTGTAGTCTGTGAATCAAATGTAGCCTTCTGATTGCTACTGAAGACCAATTGCTGAGATGATGCTGATTTTCTATTAGGCTGATGAGGTACAACASATGCACAGCCACAATGCACATGCATTTACAAATCATGGTGAAACCATATAGTACAAACAGGCATCATATCCAGTCTCATTTAACAATGCATCAAATGCAGCCTGTAACTCAAACTGCACTTACAGGAAGTGTGAAAGATTCCACCATATTATTACCCAGCAATAACAACAACCTGCTATGTATGGCTTATTTAGTAACATACAAAAGTACCTTTTTTTAACTGTAGAACAGAAGGTGGTGGTGTGGCAACCTTCATTGCTAGCCCATAGGCTCCCCGGAAAGAATGACTGTCTCGCACAATGAAAGACCCAGGTTCCTTGTCCTTGAGAACAGCAATGGCTGTGAGGGATTCCAGCAAAGAGAGAGAAAAACAATTCAAGAAACATGCACTCACTCAAAAAGTACAGAAGAGCAAATGTATAATGAATAGGACACCAAAACAGGTAAGAACTTTTTCTCTATCCTCACTGTAGAATAGAATACAATCAAGCATTATTTGGGGGACTCAAGCAGAAACACCTTATCCAAATCTCACAGATACTTATTTTAAAAGAAGCCTAAGTACAGCACCCTGCCAATTTTTAAACAGAGAAGGGTGCTCAGGTCTCACCAGAATTCCTACAGCCAGTGCAATAGCAAGTTTACCTCTGCTTAGATTTTGTCAAATTGTTCAAAGACTGCACAGCACTCTGTAATTCCCGCACTGATAGACAGCACTGTTTTTCACTTCACTTCACTGCCCCAACAAAACAGACTAATTTTCATCCACCACCAAGTTTTTGTGCTCACAAGATCACCTTACTGCCTTAGGAGTTGTAAAGCAAAGAAAGGAATGTAAGTATATATTTTGCTCTTTGWCTTCAAAATATTTCTCATCTGTATTTTGGGATCTTTTCTGAAAGTTCAATATGAAGTCCTGTCCAAGACGAAATATTTGCATGGAATGCTGCTGCTTTGCAGCAGCAAGTCAACTGCAGACTTTGAAATYTAGTAGCCCAAAATCTTCAACTTATTTTGAAAACAGACAAAAAGTTAATCTAACCATGGATCTTAATAAAACCTTTGTAGATTRCTTTATTTCCTCTCCCATAAACGTTTTATAAATACTCGTGTATACTAGTATACTTTGTTTCTATAATTTCTAACCATCAGCAAGCCTTCCGAGAAACACTAGAAAAAGCCCAGATTTGACCCTGGACTCCTTAACTGACTGTTTACAAGAAACATGGATATCATGCGTATGGGGCACAAAGGCATATTTTGCAAGGCCTTAGCAATGTTTACATCATAAGCACACTTTTTTTTCATGGAAAAAGGAGAAGTTAGAAAAAATCAGGAAAATTCAGACATAATGATCTCCTCTCTTAAAGCAAGTAAAGTAAACATACACATACTATTCTCTTTATCTGTCAGGTGGCAAAGGAAAAAAAAAACTTTTTTCAAAACAATATGTCTTTTGAGAGGATGAGGATGAATACACAAACCCCTGCAATTAAGCAGTACTTGTATAACACTTCTAAATCCACCAGGATACAATAACACGTCACAGGAGCAGTCTATTAAACTCAGGAAAAAAAGAACAAATGCTTCCCTCCTCAGCAACAGTACTTTAAACCACTTTTTAAAAAGAATTTACTTCAAGGATGAAAAGAGGCATATTAAAAGGTTGGGAAGATTTTTGGTTCATTTGTTCAAGCAGTTAGGTTTAAAATTGCTTTTTACATACTTCCCTCTCTGGACACACATCACATCAGGTATTTTTCTGCACATTTAGACTCAGTTCTCATTATGGGTGGTGAGCAGATAAGGGGAAGGGGACTGGAGCGAAAGGACCAGCAAAGAATCATCCAAAAAGGAATTAATGTTCCTTTTTCTATGATGTTTATTCCCCGGATCCTACTTCCCACTACACAAGAACATCCTCACTATCTGAGAACATACTAAGTAGGAAGACATAGCAATTCATCATTTGCTAATAGCTGAAATTCACACTATTTTGGTTTAGTACAAACATCCTTCTCTATGCAGAACTAGTTAGCAATCTTTCCTTTTTGACAACCACATTTTAAAAATCCCAATTTAAAATCCTACCTTAACTCGTTAATCACAATTCAGTATAGCTGATTATTACTGTCTGAACACAAGAACAGACAGACCAATCGCATTTGCAAAGCACTGCCAGAGACTGAAATGTTAGAGTTTCAAGGCTTAAACATTGTTAGAAAGGACTTATGCCCATATAACAAAGCTGCACCATCACGGCCCACCCCACCGTGAGTGGGCCTCCTGACTGAAACCCCGAACTCTGAGTTACACCACCTAAAAGAAATTGAGATAAGATAAAAGTGACACTGTTTTTCAATCATCTCAGGCCTGGGATAATGCTGGGGGAGAAGGATGCATTCACAAGAGCAGCTGTCCTGAAAATCACCCCCAACTAGCTTATTTGCAGCCAGGCAGGCACAGATTCTCCACCCAACCAATGGGGCAGGAGGAGACTTTTGGGTGTATGACATAACCACTGGTCAGAGGCAGCGAACACCCACCCTGCCTTACACGAGTGGCTCAGCTGTAAACCACACCCTTYCCCACCCACCGCCTCCCCAACCTCCACAAAAGCCACATCTACAGGACATTCACGTGAGGGGCAGCAGAGGTGGTATCACAATCTGTCAAAGATGCCCAAYGCATTCTCCAGACTCATTCCAGAGGCCTTGCACCAGAGCACTGCACATGACACAAAGTGMTGCAACCAATCTTTGCAAGAGACAATGTCAAATTTGCCCCTCCTCAGGGGGGTACCTGGGCATTCCCACCTGGCCCAAAGCTACATTAATCTGTTGAACTCTTATGTTTTTTGGCAGGGGACTGTTACCACCAAGAAGACGAAATGGAGAAGATCAACAGGATGCTGCTGGGACCTACGGAGGGGTGATATATTTCTATTTAATCTGACCCTGTCACTCTCCCCCCCCCCGATCTCTTTCTACTAGTTTCTTTCTCATTTACCATTAAACAAAATATATCAATTTTCTGGTATCAACATTGACTTTGTTTGCTTTTAATCTTGTTTCAGGGAATATCTGAACCTGAAGTTTCTTTTCATAATCCAAAGAGAGCTTGCTTTGCTCCTCGGTGATTAGTGGATCATAAAAAGTACCTAGCATGCTTATTTACACACTGTTGCACTGACCATGTCTAAGTTCATAGGATCATGGAAGAATGGCCTGGATTGGAACAGACCTTAAAGATTATCTATTTCCAATGCTCCTGCCATGAATAGGGACAACTTTCACTAGACCAGAGCCACATCCAACCTGGTCTTAAACATTTCCATGGATAGAGGGCATCCACAAGTGCTCTAGGCAGTCTGTTCCAGTGCCTCACCACCTTCACAGTAAAGAATTTTTTTTCTAATATTTAATCTAAACCTATTTTCAGTTTGAAACCATTTCACCCTGTCCTGTCATTACACGCTCTTCTAAAAAGTCTMTCCCCATCTTTTTTGTACGCTCCTTCGGGTACTGGAAGGCTGCAGTTAGGTTACTCCAAAGGCTACAATTAGGGCACTCCAAAGCCTTCCCTTCTGCAGACTGAACAATCTCAATTCTCTCAGCCTTTCCTCATAGGAAAGGTGCTCCATCACTCCAGTCAGCTTGGGGGCCCTCCTCTGTACTCACTCCCACAGGTCTGTCTGTGTCTTTCCTGTATGCCAGATGCAGTACTCCAGGAGCTTTTAAGTATTCATTTTCACACAGGTAATAAAAGCTTTCTTCAGTTCACTGAAGGAGAATAACACATCTACATATAAATATCCTATATCTACATCATACATCATAAAGATGTTGTTCCATGGGAGTGCTATTTTGTGACCTTTAGGAAATAATATATGTCACTGGACACTGAAATTCAGGCTATAAAACAACTGGGAGATGAGGATGCTTTTGTGATGACCTAGCTAATGAATTATCTGAGATCATGTCAGAACAGCACACTTATACTCAAGAGGTTTTGGAGAGCAGCCAGTCTTTTGGTATTGTTTCCTGCATATCTGCCATTCCAAAATCTGAAGCTCCACAACAAAGAGMACTTGTACCAGCCACCACAGGTATATCTATATTACTTCATAATTAGTTCAGTTAAGCTAATATTTGTCTGATTAACTGAGTATTTTTCAGGACTATTTGACTGCCCTCCACACTCAAATTCAGCCTTTTAACAAATAAACTGGGGTTGTCTGTGACCCTTCTAGGTTTCATATTTATTTCAGTGATCAGGTATGAATCAAAAAAACTTAGCAAGACTTCACTGACTAGCTTTTCTGTGAATGGATGTGYCAGAATATGCATCAGTTGATATACCTTGTTCTCTTGAAATATCTGGCTTATACCAGAACTTCGACGTGTCCTGAACAAATTTTACGGTCACATGTCTATCAGTTGTGTTTTCTGTGAAATAAAAGGGAAAAAAAAAAGTCAAGAWTTTTTTTTTAAATACAAATGCATTTTCACTTTTCTTTCCAACTTTCAGTCACCTTGATTATTCAAAAAATTCATGACTAGAAGAGTTTAGAGAAACTGAACTGCTTTAGAGCCAGCATACACTAAGATTCTGAACGCATATTTGAAGTTCCATTTTGCAAAACCCATAAAATATTTAAAACTTTTAGTTATAAAGCTGTAATACAAACTTCTCAACACCATCCAATGAATATACATCTACATTTTTAACTTTTCTTGGCACAAGTCTAAAAGATGCAGAGAGAAGYCAGTCCTTTTTAAAAGAAATTGAACTCCATACTTGTAGTTTGACAGCTGAAAAGGTAGGCTGCCCAATGGCTGACTTCTAGGAAGCGCAGGAAGAAATCTGCAGCTTTGCTTTCTGAATAATGCATCCAAGGATAGTGAACTGGCAGTTTGTTACTGCAAACATTCAAGAACTCTGTGCCATTTTCATTCCACTACTATTTTTTTCCCCTCTCTTTTAAAATCCTCAAAAATCTTTCTATAAAATCACATAAAATGTAATGTATTTTGCATTTTTCTGATGCAGAAAACCAGAACCTACCTGGTACCGGAGAAGGGCTTAACATTTTTGAAAAATCTGGAAGGACATTTGGGAAGGGAATGCTGATTGTGCTTCCGCTGTGAGGGCTAGAGAAGCCACTTGAAGAAGGCGACACAGAGGCAAAGGAACGCTCATCTTCAGAGGACCTCTTTTTCTCTGGAAGAGGTGGCTGAGCATGTAGGTTCCCTCCATGGTGGTGCTGAACTGGATTGTTCTGGCTATTGTTTCCAGAGGCCACTGTAATAAAGTCTTCTGTAAAAAAGTCATTGTCTTCAGCACTTGCTACTGATGAACCCAGGGTTTTGGATGTGCTAGTATTAGCTATGCAAGTAGCTTGTGTCTCCTCTCGGGAAGAGCTACTGTCCCTGGTACCTGCACTGTGGCTCAGGTAGGAATGGGCACTGCTGCTGATAGTAAGTTCTTGGTGTGGCTCTGCTGGTGAACTCTCCAGGTTGCTCATGGTCACAACTTGCAGTCCTGGAGTTTGGAAATGAGACAGGAGAGAGACATCTTGCACAGCATTTGAAAATTCAGAAGGCACAATGTAACCTCCTGGCTGCCTGGTGTTTCCCATTGAAAACTGGGTTGACAGCAGAGCTCTAGGGCTGCTTTCAAGCCAAGGATGTTCTGMTGCAGAAGAGCTGTCAAAAAAAAAAAGCCAAAAATTGAACACAAAAATAAAACAACAGCCAAATCATTCCCTTAAAATGTTACTGWACAACCCATACTTCAGTAATTGTTGAAAATAATGAAACATCACATCCAGGACAGTATCTTAGGGCACTCTCTGAAAACATGCTGGACTAGGTAACACAGCTGGATCAAGGGATTCCAGCCTTACTCTGACCAGTAATCTCCTCAGTAAGGTTTGTTTTGACTTATGTCACCCTCCACCTAGCCATGTTGATGGGATAGTTTCTGAGTCTGCACTGTATACCAGTCCATCAAATTAATGACAGCTAAAAATATTTCTCCCTGTTTGAGGGGGTTACTTTTAATATGAATCAGTTTAGTGAGACTGTTTGCAGCATTGCTTCACAAACAGTGATTCTGTTTGTGAAGTGCTGAAGTACTACCTGAAAAAGAGCAGTAGGAGGCAACAATTTCTTGTGCCAAAGCTGCACAGAGATAGCCATTTAAGAGCCCTGACACAGCCATACCAGCTCTTACATGCAGAGTGTCTTATGCTCACCAGAATAAAAAGAAATGGGCTGAGGAGGTGGCTGTGCACCATCACAAAATACATTAGCAACTATGATAATGATAAGAATACCATTAACAAGGAATAGCTCACAGATCAAGTCCCTTTTAATACAATTTATATTAAAAAAATAAGGGAAGCATACCCAGTAGTTAATTTACTTGACAGGGGGCAAAAATCTGATTTAYAGAATTAAATATTTCAACAGTAAACACTCTTTTTCTACTGGGTAGCAATTCTATCTGTTTAAGTAGAAAATAAAAAAAAAAGTCCTTCTAAACAAGAGAAACTAAGCTTCTGATKAAATAATCTGGTAAGACTTTGTCTCCTTACTTCTAAAGATGAAATGCCCTTAGGCTGTAGCTGTAAAATACTACGAGTATTACCAGATCCAGAGAAAACAAACTCTTTGGGAAACGCAAAGAGAAAAGAGCTGGTAGAAGAGATATGTCAAAAAAGAAAGGATTTTTAATTAAAAGGGATCTGTGGAAATGGATGCCAATAGATTTGAATAGCTCAAAGTAGAAGGGCCATAAACAAATGGAAGGTAAGCAAATTGAAGAAGACATCACTGCACGAAAAAAAGCTCTAGAGCTGTAGCTATCTGCTAGGTGAAATTAAAAATTACAGAAAAAATATTTAGAAAGAAGGGAACAAAATTTTCTAGATAAAGTCTGAAGTAGGAATGTAAACTTGATAATGACTGAATTGCCTGATAAGCTTTTAATACATATCTACTTGTAACTGTTACATTGCCTCCTCTGCAGCAAATACCAACATATTTTGTTCAGTCTTATGATTCACATTCGTAATCAGAAAACCAAAACGTTCTTTCAGTCTCAGAATGGATTGAAAATGAAACTAATTAGATTGGAAGATACATAAAAGATAAATTGGAACAACATACTTGAAGTACTTACTCAGAGTATGACACTCCAACCAAAAGCATTCCCAAATACTTAYGGCGAAAATGGAGCCAAATAGCCAATAATGAGAATAGGATAGTTAGCCAGAAAGGAATGTCTTTGCAGAGTGATAGAGAAGGTAAYTTGATGAGGGCTAATGCACCACCTTGTCTATTGAGTAGATACAGCGCACAGCTAATGACTGATCATGCATTGTTAAGGTCTTGCAAACCTTCTATAGCAACTAAGGACTCCTTGTTTGTTTGCTGTTACTTGCCAATTCTTTGCTTATGCTGTAAGCTCCTTTGGACAAGGACAAAGCACATTATTCAAGCTCTTGTCCAGAGCCCTATATATTTACCAGAATACAATTATAAAATAGCAAAATTTTTAAGTCTGCTGAGCAGCTGAAAGGGAGTCAGTTATACACTACCAAAGCAAATCTGCTGACATTTTACTGACTAGAAACACGTCTGCAGTGAGAAGAGTGCTCCCTTCTTCTCATATGCAGCTTGTTCCAACATGAAATTTCATTACATGGCTTTAAGTAAAATATTAGAGAAGCCAGTTAAGCACACAGAAAAATATATATGAGCTTGTGCTAGCAGACAATAACTGAGCTATAAAATTCTATTTATTTTTGCCTTCCCACTTATCTTCAAAGCTAACTGTATCCCTGACATACAAGTAACATCTGTGTATGCAATAAAATCCAGCCTATGGACAACATCAACATTAAATGTCACAACCAATCTCAAAGTTCTCAGAAAAATGGCCTGAATGAAACCACAAGCATAATGTCTTGGCTGGGAACTATCATTATGAGAACTAAAGTAGGAGAATCTTTTCCTACCTTTCTGCCCCTGGAATAGGACTGCTACTTGAAACAGTACGAGAATATGTAAAACTGTGCTGAAAGGAGGGATCAGCCTGCATGTCGGCCCTCAGCAAAGAAGGGTTAGTGCCCACAGTGCTGTCAGACATCACCATAGAGAGGTCAATGGCTTCCATGTAACTTCGAGATTCTGCAGCAAAGAAAACATAGTAAACACAAATTTAAAAACAACATGCATTTTTATGAACCTTGTACTAAAAAAAGTGTTGACAAAATATTCTGTTTTTCTCTTAGTAAGATTTTAAATGAGAGGTTTTGTTTGTTTGAGCAGTAGATGTTATTTCATAAAATAACGTTGATTGCTGAAAACATCCAGCAGGTCAAATGGCARAAGGAATAGAGATTACAGAATTGCAAGCCTCAAACTGTTTGATCAGTTCTCCAGAATACATTCTCTAGCCCTAAAGATGAGAATGGACCCATCTGTTCCCAGATGTTTTGCATTCCACAGTCCACAGTGTTAAATAGGTTAAGTGCACCATTTGCACTTAAAATACCAGTAGAAAATCAGGTGTCACCAATAGATAAGCGGGTGTTCTGGTCCACGACAGAGTTCATTTCTGCACTACGCAGTAGGGGGCATGGCCAGGACCCCGTGTTATTGTCTACACTACCGCATGTCATTGCTGGGAGTGGGGGAAGGGAGTTTATTCCAGGGAGAAAGGGTACTTTCTGTTTGAGAAAGCATGGCGGATGGAGTAGTGAGGTGGTGCTGGTACCGAGCTGGAGGGAGAGGCTGAGGTGGGGCTCAGGTCAAGCTCTTTGATGAGCATTTTTGCATGTGAATCACTCTCTTTTCTATACTTTTGTTACTGTTTTATTAGTATTGATGCTCTTACTGTTTGTTTTCTCATCTCATTGCTAGTTTCAGCAAATTATTCTTATCTCAACTTACCTTCACTTTTTCAGCCTCCGGTTCTCCACTCCAGCCCCCCACAGAAGGGAGGAAGAGGAGAAACAAGCAAGTGGCTTTAGGCTGGGAGAGTGCCACGGCACTGGGGTATTAATTCTGCCACCCCATTCAGCCCACTTGCTGAATGGGGCAGGGGACCTGATGGATAATGACACAGATGACAGTGAGGTACTCACAACTTTGTTCATATCAGTCTTTACCAGTAAGATAGGCCTTTGGAAACCTCAAGCCTCTGAGACCACAGAAAAAATTTAGATCAAAACATACCCTCAGTAGAGAAGGACTAAACAAAGGAGAAGTAAAACAAACCGGACACATTTAAGTCCAGTGGGGCCTGACAGGTTGAACACACAAGAGCTGAGGGAACTGGCTGATACCCTGCAAGGCCACTCTCAATAATCTTTAAAAGGTCTCAATGACTGGGAAAGATTCATATAAACTGGAAGGGAGCAAGCATCACTCATACCTCCAAGAAAGGTATGAAGGATGATCCAGGGAATTGCAGGCTTGGCTAATCTAACCTCAGTCTCTCGGAAGGTGAAGAAGCAAATAGCCATGGAAACCACTTCCAAACACATAGCAGTAAAGAAAATTATTTTATTTACAAAGGAGAGATCATGCATATCCATTGAGATAACCTTCTTCAGTAAACTGACTAGTATAGTGGCTAAGGGAAGAGCAATTGATGTCCCTTTTCTTGACTTTATTAAGGCTTTCATCATGGTCTTCCATAATATCCTCATAAACATGCTGACAAAACACAGGGTTAGATAAGTAGGGTAACAGATAATTGCACTAATAGATAGCACGATCTATTAAAAAATGGCTTAGTATCTGGGTCCAGAGGCTTGTRAGCAGCTACAGCAAGTCCACAAGAAGGCAAGTCATAGTATTATACCCCAGGGCTCATACTATGACCAATACTCTTCAACACTCTTCATTAAAAATGTGGATGATGGGATAAAGTTTCATCAGCCAGTTTTGCAGTGAGGAGTCACTGATAAACCAGATGGTTGTGCTGCTATTTGGAAGTGGGCAAAATGGGACAAAAGAAATTTTAAATCCAACAAGGGGAAATATAAACTCCTGCAACTGAGAAGGAATAATCCATGACACCAGAACATGCTGGGGGCTGATTGGCTGGAGACAGCTCTGCAGAGGATGGTTCTCATGGACAATGAGCTGACCATGAGCCAGGAATACAACCCCAAGGCAAAGGCAGCCAATAGTMCCCTGGCCTGCATCAACAGGGGAAGGAAGGTGATCCTTCCTCACTGCTTAGCAGGCCACATATAAAGCTCTGTGCCTATTTATGGACTCCTCAGTAGAAAAGAGACAGGGACTTCAGGGACTGAACAAGTCCAGTAACAGGTCACAAAGATGCCTGAACCATCACTGGGACTGAAGCATCTTTTACAGGAACACAGGCTGAGAAAGCTGGGACCATTCAGCCTGGAGAAAAGCAAGCTCAGGGGTATATTATCACTCTGTATATAAACTTGATGGGACAGCACTAAGGATGAGTGAGCTCTTCATACTATTTTGCTCACAGAAGGAGAAAAKAACACAACTGGGCCTAAAAGGTAGTTTAGCAGCACAGAGCTTACTTACCTGTTGTCCTGGTTTTGGCCAGGGTAGAGTTAACTATCTTCATAATGGCTGGTATGTGGCTGTTTTGGATTTTTGCTGAATACGGTAATGATAACACAGAGGTATTTCTGTTATTGTTGAGCAGAGCTTACACAGAGACAAGGCCTATTCTGCTTTCCATACTGCCACACTGGCAAAGCAGTTGGGGGTGCATGGGAGGTTGGGAAGAGACACAGCCAGGACAGGTGACTCAAATTGACCAGAGGGATACTCCAAACCACATGACACCATGCTCATTATACAAACTGGAGGGAAGAAGGAGAAAGGGGAGGACGTTTGGAGTGATGGTACTCGTTTTCCCAAGTAACCATTACATGTGATGGGCTCAGCTCTCCTGGGGATGGCTGAACATCTGGCTACCCATGGAATGAAGTGAATTAATCCCTTGCTTTGAGCTGCTTTTGTGCATGGGCTTTTGCTTTCCTTCTTAAGCTGTCTTCATCTCAGCCCATGTGTTTTCTATCTTTTACTCTTCCAATTCTCTCCCCAGTCCTAGGGGTTCCAGAATGAGCAAGCAGCTGCATTGGGCTTGGCTACTGGATGGGCTTAAACTATGACACCTGTGCAGCCACAGTTTTCAGGCATGACTTTGTCCACACCACACAGACTGAAATCTGAAATATGTTCAGCTTAGTTATACAGGATGTAAATACTACAGAATATAGTTAAACAGATGCATTTAGATGAGGAAAAATGTGGATGCTATTACTGCAGAATTTAATGCAGGGACAGTTTCACCTCCTTTTTTAGAGGTAACTTAAATAACCAGTCAAGCTCTAAAGGGGATTACATTTAATTATTCTGGATTAGTATTAAAACAATCAATATCTATTCACTTGAGTCCAGGCTCAAACACMCTGTTTCTATACAGAAAAAGCCATGCACTATAATACTACAAATGCCCATGCATCTAAATAGCTTCATTCACCTGAATAGTCTCACTGACCTCAACACTAGCAGGACTGAAATCCAGTAAGACAATCACAGATGAAACGTCTCTAATTACTGTCTCTTGAGTTGATACACTTCCAAAGAATAAGGGAGGGGAAGAAAAAAAAACACAACCAAGGAAGTTATGGAACAAATCCCTTCCTACAAAGAGTTAAGATCACACTAATGAATCTTTTCCGTAAGTAAATATTTCTAATATAAAAAGCCACTGAACCAAGTCTAAATAAATTCTTTCCCTTCAATTCATGGCAGAGCTTGGTTCTGCTATTATTTGAACGAGGATTGTGAAAGATACGTCTGAGATAAGAAAATCTGCAATTAGTGCCCTGACTATAAACCATCTGAATTCATCACATAGCTCACATATTGTACAGTACAAACATTTAACTGGATGAGGGAAACAGCAAACTGCAACACTGTCTTTTAACTATGTAAATAATTATATTCATAACAGCCAAAAAAGTTAACTTTAAGGAAATACTGCAGAAATGTTTAGTGTAAAAGAGCTACAGAAATCCAAATCTGTATTTATCTACTAGATCAACTACATTACAGTCATCCTCCTACTGGTGCAAGCACAGTCAGAAAAGCTGGCTGCACAAACTCATGACKTAGGGCATGTTCCAACTCAAGTTATCGGTGCTTATTTACACAATACAAAGACTGGTTGCTCACCCAAGTATTACAAAGACTGATGTTAAGCTCTGAGCAATTATTTCAACAGACACAGAAAATGCAAATCAGTTCAAGGCATGTTGGTCAAATTGATATTGCATGTATGAAGCCTCCCCAGAAACACAATTTTGACTAGGCTCAAAGCAGACAAATCTCCAGAGACCAGCATTTGACAAAGTATCTCAACTGCAACAGGCATCCCATCTCTGCACATGAACTTGCAGATACTTCCCAATTACTAGGTTGAGATGATTCTGCTTCTAAATGCAAGAGGTTAATGAATTCCCCGCAGGAATAGGAATTACGATCACAAGCTTATSTCCATATGCTTGTTTGTTTTCATGCTTCTGTGTGTTCTCCAGACACTAGACTATACAGGGAACTCACGGGAATCCAGTTACCAAGTTACCAAGAATCCAGTTATCCAGTTACCAAGAATCTCAGGGCAGGAAGGAGAATGGCACTCTTGAAATAGCTTAAAATCTCCCACTCTAATACAACTACATGTGCAAGAGTAAATCTAACAGATTTACACAGCAAATTCCACTTCTTCTTCCACAGCACTTTCTTGAAGAAAGGGATTAAGGCTTGCTTCTTCCCTGTTTCAGGCCTTGGATTGTTGCTATTTCCTTTTGAGCACCACACACTGCCTAAGGGAAGGACCACTGTCATGCTCACAGACACATTTCATACCCCATTTTCACAGGTGCAAAATACTAAGCATAGAGTGAAAAGCCACTGGCAGCCAGGCACGTAAAAAAAACCACAAACTCAGTACAACCCTTCCCAGGCGACAAACAAGTATATTTGAAAAATTTTACTTCCCATGAAAGCAGTCATGTTTTTACTACAACTAAAAACAAGACTGCTAGATATTTTAGTTATGTCCTTTCATTGTCTGATGCAGAGTTCACTAGTCAGCTCTTAACCCTTTATCTCAT